ATTAAAATATTTTATAAATACTAGTTTTAATTTTTTATATAGCTATGTTAATTTCTTTTTAACTTTATATATAAAATAAAAGTTAAAGATTTATCTCTTATAAACTAATAAATTATATAAAAGTACCTTAAACATGCTGCCTATAATTAGACTTTTTATTTCTATATAGTCTAATTCTTTAAATAGTTTTCTAAGTGTTATAATTATACTATTTATATAAAGCTTAATTACTAGAGTGTAGTTATTCTTTTTCTTCTAAGTTAAAAACATTATGTTTTATATAAGATTTTTATGTAGTCTTTTATAGCCTTTTTTAGCTAGTTATAGTTCTAGTTTATATAATAAATCTAATACTACTTAAGAAGCTGTTTTGTGCAGTTTATTAATTAAAGTTAGTTACATATATAAATAACCGTTTTTTTTATGCTTATAAAGGATCTTGTTATACTAAGGCTAGTTTGTCTAGATCTAGCAGTTTTTATGCAGGTTTATTCTTATCTTTTATATAATAATATAGTATAACTTATGTGTAGTAAAGTCTTACTAGACTATTTTTTATTTTAATAATAATGTCTAGGGCTTTAATTCCTTTTACTATATGTAGTTCTGTCTATCTTTTCTTCTTTTACTATGTCTTTACTTTAGAACTAAGTAAAAAATTTAAGACTTTATGTAATATTAAGCTATTCTAAGTATTAATTATATAATTAATATTAACTTTTACTTTTTTACTTTAAAGTATTCTTATTACCTTTTATATAGCATTAGCTTATGTAGTAATGTTAGAGGATAGTGCAGAATCTATGTTAATTCTTAGGTATGTTTTAAATATAAGTAATGTAAGTATAAAACTATTTAGTTTTATTATATTATTTAAAGCTTTAACAGCTATTTATAGCACTAATTTATTATTTATATAATTATCTAATTTTGCATAGAGGATGTTATATGCATGTTACAGTAGTGTGTGCGCGCACTTAATCTTCTTTATAGCCTAATAGGCTTCTACTAGCATTTGTTAACACATTACTTTTATAATTTTTATATAATTTTAGAAATCTTTAAATGCAAAGTTTATACTAAAGTTATGTATAATATAATTAGATAAGCTTTAATATGTGTTAATCTAACACTTATAAAGCGCATCTTAAGTATCTTATATAGACATTAATTTTAAAAAGGTTACTGCTTAGAACAATATATCTATGTTAATTATATATAGTATGTTTTAGTTACTAATTTATATAACATTAATTACTATTTTATAATTAAAGTATAAATTATTTTTAATTATAAACTTAAATTTTTATAGTGCTAAGTTATATAGCTAATATATATAGTAAAACTTCTTAATCTTTTTAAGTATAAAAAGATTAGTGTTGTGTCTAGCGTTCTTAAGCATTATGTAAAGCTGTTTTGTATAAGAATAGCTAAACCTTCTATGTAGTTGTTAAAGTTTATGTTTTATAAAAAAAAAATTTTTTTTTTTTTATATATTAAAAAATAAGTAACTTTATTTATATATAACTAGAACTTTAATTTTATTACTTTATATAATTACATTTTATATGTTGTTAAAGTACACATTTATCTAGTCTATATTAGTAAAAGATAGTAAGAAAGGTGTTAGTATATCTAGTATATAATATGTAACACTACTAACTAGATTAGTAATTTATATAGTACTAATTAATCTTATTAATTTTTATTTTTTAAAGCTAATACTTTTTTAATTTAGTGTTTAGTTTACTTTTATATAAAATTTTTTTTATAAGTATGCTTTAAGTTATAACTTTTTTATAGTAAAAATTTTTGTAGCACTAGTATTTTATAGTTTACCTTAGTATACTATATAATATTAATCTTTAAGAATAAACTATTCTGCGTATTCTTTAGGTTCTAGGCTGTATATGTTCTTTGCTGTTGCACAGTAAAGAAATGCAGTAAAGGTAAAGTAGTTAATAATTTTCTTACTTTTTTTTTTATTTAAGTTATTATTATATAACTTTTTTTCTTTTTACTTTAGTTTACCTTTAAATTTTTAAATGTACATGCTTACTTTTTTACATATTAAGGTCTTATTATAAAAATTTTTATATAAAAAGATGTACTAGCGTTTTGCATAAAATTAATTTATATAAAAATAATTTATTAACTAATATTTTTTTATAGTAGATAAAGCATTACTTTAATTATATAAAAAAGTGTAATTTAAATAATTTTTTATATCTTTTTAGACTTTTTCTATGTTGTTAGAAGCTAATTATATAAAAAAAGTTATATCTTTTATTAGTGTAGTACATGTCTTTTAGTTTATTTAAGAATATGTTATTCTGCTAATTAATTATAACCTAAAGTGCTAAATAAAGGTTACTATATAGTGCTTTATATGTAGGCTTAATTAAAAATATTACTTATTTAAGTTTAAGTTGTCTTTAGCATGCTTATATAATAGTAGTGTAAAGCAGTATCTTACTTTAAAATTATAAACTAAGAGCTTTTTATATAAAAGTAAGCTTATTAATTATAGCTTTAAAAGCTTTATATAAAGTTTTTATAAAGTTCTTTTACTTAATTTATGTAAAGCTTATTATTATTTAATTTATCTAATACTAGTTATAATTTATATTAGTATTAAAGTAATTACTAAGCTATTTATATAGGACTTTTTACATCTTTCTAGGGCTAATATTGTGAAGGTAGAACATGTGTGCACAGCCTTTAAGAATATTAAAAAAGATGCTTATATATAAGGCTTTATAAATAGTAAGGTGTTAGCAAAGCTTAATAAATACTATAGCCTTATTAGCTAGAATATTATATAGTTACCTTATGTAGTTATTTTTTTTTCTTTTATGCTTTTTAAAATTATACAACTTTTTTAGGTGTAAGGTTCTTTACTATAATATCTTATATAGGTAAAAGTTAGTATAGATTATACAGTAATTAAATTATATATAGTAGGTATAAGCTTTAAGAAACCTTATGCAGAGCTGTAGCTACAGGAATATGTAGCTGCCTAGTTATGCTCTTATATAGTAAGCTATTATAAAGTAGTTGTACTAATTATAAAGAAAGTATTAAGTCTATAGGTAATTTATATAGAGACATTCTCTATAGCATTAGAACTAACGCTAGTAGTAATAGTTTAGTATAATAGTTTAATAAAATAGTAAAAGTGTGTTTTTTTTTATAAGTTTATATAGTATAATAGCTTTTATTTTTTTTTAAAACTAATACTCTTATTCTATAAGGTAGTAATTAGTTTTTATAAAAATAGTTAGCTAAGATCCCTAAAGTGTATAAGCTTCTACTTTATAAAGTTGTCTTAAAAGTTTTTAAGTGTTTATATATCTGTTGCGCTTAACATATAAAGTTTTATAATTAAGTTAGCTATGTATAAATTAAGCTTTTTTTTAAGTGTGTTATTTAATAGTTTAATTTTATTTACTTAATTTTTAATATTTATCTGCTTTACTAGAGTCTTTACTAAAATGCCTATAAAAGGTATGTATTAGTTATATATAAATATGTTATGTTAGCTAGTTATAGATAAAACTAGCATTGCTTATTACTTTATAGTAGTTAATTATGCGTTATTGCGCGCTGTTTTACTTCTTATTATACACTACCTCTAAATAGCCTTATGTAAAAAGATAAAATAGACCTTCTAGCATTAAATAAGCACTACTATTTATATAATACCTTTAAATAGTATTATATAGACAGGTTTCCTACTCTTTATTAGGTAACTAAATAGAGATTTTTAGCTACTTATATATAAATTAAACTCTATCTTTACTCTTACTAATTTATAGTTAAATTAGTAAAAAAAAGAATTCCTTTTATACATAATTTTTTAAATAGAAAGGTATAAAAAAAGCTTTCTGTTTTACAGCATTTAAACTACTAATTAGTGTTAAATAGACTCTATGCTAGCTATGTAAAGTAAAAAGGTTTTGCACAGTGTACACATCACGCGGGGGGGGGGGGGGGGGGGGGGGGGGGGGGGGGGGGGGGGGGGGGGGGGGGGGGGGGGGGGGGGTTGCAGGTAACTGGTGTTAATTCTTCTTGTTCTAAGTCTGTGCAAAGGAAAGGGTATTTATCTGTCTGTGCGTACAACTGTGACACAAGACTATGTCACGTGACGCCCAACCGCGTATCTAAATACTGCTATTTAGACATGCAGCATATTTCTTTAAAAGTTTTATATTTTATTTAAAAGCTTAAAGTGTAAGCTATATTTAATGTTTTTTTAGTATGTTTAAGTAGTATTGTTAGAAATACATTAGTATAAAAAAAGTAGTTTAGTAGAGTCTTAGTAAAAGTAAGTAACTTAGGTGTGTAAGCAACTTGCCTGTAAAGTACATTATATAGATAACTATAATTTCTAATAGTTTTAAAAGTAGGTTTTACTTTTACATTTCTTATTTTTATAAATCTAGTATAATTAATTAGCTAGCTAGCTTTAGATTTAATTTTAATTTTAAATATTAAGTAACTACTAATTTTTTTTATATGCGAAAATTCTTTTATTTTACTTTAAGTAGTAACTTTCCTATCACTTTACGCTTTATGCTTCCCGCCAACAGTTTTTTTTACAACTACTAAGATAAGCTGCTTATTAGATCTATTCTATAAGCTATTATCTTACTACTCTAAGCTAAGATGTATTTTAAGCCTAACTTGCTGAAGCTTAAACATTAGCCTACTGTATTACATAGCCTACTACGTTAGTATTTCTAATCTAAGCAGCGAATTATAGCAAGAGAAAGCTAACTAAGCACTTTAGTGCTTAGAAGAGCGCCGATCTTTCAGCGCTTAGTGTTCGATGCCTTGTTGTAACGTCGGGGCTCTCGGAATCTCGTTGTCGGCTTGCAAACTCGCGCAAGCAAGCAATTTAAAAACTAACATTTTAATGTGACATAGCATTCCTTGCACTAGTTACTGTTGAGGTACTATCTCATGGCCGTTTATTAAAGAGGTACGTAGCCTTTATAGGGCCGTTCGTACCAATCAAGCCACTCAAACGCGTTGTCTAAACGATTATACATATCAATATATTCCATCACGCCCATGTACATCCAGCCAACCTCCTCCCAATTCTCATTAGTTTCGCCATCTTCCCAGCCCTCAGCCACTGCAGCGACCCTGTCCTCTTGCCAATCTGTCGTTAGAATCTTGATTACTGGAAACCCTCTCATAATGGATGCATCCAGCGAGCGAAGGCAAGCCTCGTCCACGAATAAGCAGAAGTTCCACCTCGAAGGGAGACAGGACACAGGATGCTTCGCATCATGAACGTCGTTGCTGAGTAGCTTGTACCGAACTTGCGCGCTTCCACCATACTTCTCTGGGTTGCGAAGCCGCGGTGTTAGGTCATCGGCAACCCAGGCCCGGAATGCATTGCGTACTATATGCGCGTTAGCGTCAGCGAGCGTCTCTTCATTCTCAATGACAGTCATCTCGTGGCGGGGGAGGAGATCGCTCCGATTTGAAAGTGACAGAGTGTCCGCGATGGTCGAACGCAGACGATCGAGCATGCATACCCAAGGCGTGTCGCTGTCCACGCCATAGACAGTGCGAAAAACGACAAATCCCCATGGAGCGTTAGGCCGTATGGCATGGTGGTTGACGCTAGCATCGATGTTATGATATTCCTTTGGAAAGCTCGCAATAGTCGGCTCGAGTGGCGACTTGACCTCTTGAATTGTGTTGAGAGCGTCCTTAACATCTTTCTGAATGGCTGACGTCCCCGCTTCTCGATCTTTGGCGAGGGGTGTGGGTGGGTTGACTTCAGAACGATTGGAGAGTGATTGTCGGTGTTGGCTTTGCGGCTTGATGAGCGACGCCGAAATAACTGGGCGTGTTGTGTGTGGAAAGAAGGGGCCGGCTAGCTGGAAAAGCCGTGGCAGGAGGCGAGTTTGCATTCTCAGCAAGAACAATTAGAATTATTAGTTGCTACACGTCTTTAATGTTTGTTGGTTACACTAGAACGTGGTAATGTCCGCATGTTGCAGTCATGTGTTTAGGCTTGTGTTCAGAGCTGCAGGTGAGATTACTTACAGTTGTTTGCGAAATAGTATTGTTACAAATGAAAAGCAATAAGCTGCGAGGACTAAGCATATGTTGCTAAAAGACATGCAGAGTCTAAAGAGCTAGCATGATAGGAACAGACGATGCGGGGCGTAGCTTATGTCACTGGTTACGTAACGCTAGTAGACGTGGCTAAGGGCTGTAAGACGTAGAATAGAGTGCTAAGGCTACAACTACTCTAGTCTTAGCTATAACTAAATTGCAGAATAAAAGAATATATAAAAGGCATTAATCTTTCTTTCTTAAATATCTCTTTATAGTTAACGTATTCTACTATTAAACCTATTAAAATATTAAACCTAACAAAATCTCTTAGTATTGTAAACACTATATATAAGACTATAATTTTATTTGCAACTAAATAAAGAACCTGTGTACAACATTCTTATATCTAATTCTAGTGCTTCTTCTTTATTCTTTTACATGTATAAGTGTTATGCCTAGTCTTACAGTTTGTACAGCGTTGTAGAGCTAGTTAGGCTCTTTCTTAATCACTACTACTATAAGCCTTTAGATCTTTAGAGTCTTTAGACAACAGTTAGTTAAGTTATAGTTAAGTAGGTAATTAAGCTAATTACTTCTATAGCTAAAGATTAATAACAATATAATAGAATTAGCTAAAATTTAATATAGTATAAAATAAGCTTGTTTTAGATAGACCTTAAATTTAATAATAATATATGTTAGAAGGACTATCCATTCTTATACAGTCAGGATAGTCCGTGACTATAGCCACGGGGATGGGGGTGAGAGCTAGTGCACGGAAGCTTGGTTACAATAGATCTGATTATTGTGAGTCGTCAAAGGACTCGACTATATACTAGTCGGTCACGTGACTAGTCAGATGACAGTCATGTAATCTTGGCTCGGAAGGCAAGCCTTCCGGGGTCGGGTCGAAGGTCTTCCGTGCGACATTAATGGGAAGAGGAATTGCGTGCGAATACTGTCTGAATACTGTACAGATAATATACTATATAGTTAGAAAGTTACATTAAAGTGCAGTTATAAAGGTATTATAATGCCTTGTGTAGGACTTAATAATTTACTACTTTTTTAAATCTTATTAAAAATAAGTTATAAAAATGTTAGAATATAGTTAAAGAATTTTTTTATAATCTACTAAAATCTTAGCTAGTTTAGATGTATAGTAGAGGAGGTTTGTAATCACATATCACCTAAAAAATCACAAAAGTCCCTTAGCTAGCTAGACAGAGAAAGCGCTTTTAAGCCCCTAATTAGCTGGCCTTATTAGTTGGGGAGCTAGTAGGGGTCCCTCTCCTAGTTGCAGGGTCCTTAGGAGCTCTGAGCTTCTCCGTACAGTGTGCTGAGCACCTGAGATAACCCACCTGTCTATTCTGAACTCTTATTAGAATTCTTAGAAGCTTCTTACCAGTCATCGCTAAAACCTGTATAAATCCAGCAACGACTTCGGTATAAAAAAATCTCGAAGAACAGAGAGCTCCAAAAAGTCATCATGTTAACTGAAAAAGGAGAGTCCATTTCCTGCTCTTTCAGGACCTCACATCGGCTGCGATGTGGACCTTTGAGCATGGATAGATTTTCTCCGCCAAAAAGAGAACACTCTTAGAGTCATACGAACCCCAGCGCCCGTAGAACCCTTCAAAAACCAGGAGACAAACTAGAATAGACATCTTCCTCAAAAGCCCAAACTGTTCGATCCGTATGTGGATCCCAAGCCAGCAGCACTCTCCAAAGCATCGTAATTTATCCCCATCTGGAGTTCCTGCCGTCGAATCTTTCAACACAACAGAAGCTGAGAATGCTATGGCGATCTCCCGGAGAATAGCGCCGAGAACGAGAGAAAACACCTTATATAGAGGTTACTAAACTAAAGCATAAGAACCGAGCTCACATGAGTTCGGATTCGTGACTTCCGTCACAGTATAATGAAAGATTAAAATGCTTCACCCATGTCGCGCCGTGGGCCAGAATAAAAAGAAGTACGATGTCATGAATGTTTCGGCCCGGGAGCGGCGTCGCACTACCCCCTCATAACACACACAGCAACACTGAGGTTCGAGAATCAAACAATCCCAAACAGAATGTCCGCTTTTACGTTTCCTTATCAGAACGACCTACTCGTCGTTACATGGGAGCTACAGTTCCAAGCCCACACTCGGCCTGCACTTTTAAACATCCACATTTCTGGCCTTCCTTGCTCTTCACGCTTGATGCTCGAGTATCGCTTTAAAAGGAATTCAATCGCTTCCGAGTGAGCCCTGAGAAAGATTGCGAGGTTTACACCATGTGGTGCTTGCTTCTCATATCGTCAACACTCGAGCAGAACTCTAAAAATACCGCTCCTACTCGGGTGGAGCTCCGAGAAATTCGGCAACAGCCACATGTCGTGTGCCTTGAAAGCCAGTCTTCGAAGCATACTTTTTTCACAGAATACTGGACCCGACAAACCCCCAGAAAGGGTTAGAAACGGCGACGTCCGTGGCTACAGCATTTGGAAACGTTCAGTCAGGGGAACATTATAGAAATTATGGAAGAAACTAGATGGTGGCGTTCTGATGGAGCTAGTTGTCGGCAGAGATGTTTTACGCAAACAAGTCGGAGGCCCCACATGGTGTTGGGTTTCGCAGGAGTGCACACTCAAAGGTATGGAAAGAGGGGATCATGGAGACTCTGTAATAATACCAGAGTCGAATTCCAGCATGGCTCCGGGTCCGAATCTTCAGAGTTTGGTGCAAAAGAGTTGGGAGTAGTTGCGTGGTGGTGTTCTTGGCTTGAGTACCACTTGAAATCCAAGGGAGAATCCAGGCATAGAGACTCGATAATCCTCAAAGCAAGCAGCCATGCCCCTGGGCTCGCGAAGTAAAATGTAAAAGGCAAAGACTGTATGCTGCGGTCCTGGGCCTTCAAAACTTTAAAAACTTGGAAAGAGTTGGAATGGTATTGTCTTTAGCTGGAGTATTCCCTTAAAAACATGACCAAAGGCTAGCATGGAGAAAGTGGAGTAAGATAGCAAGCCCACCGAGTCATGGCTTCGGGACCGCCCCTCTCACGAAGTAAAATGCAAAAGGCAAAAGCTGTATGTTGCGGTCCTGGGCCTTCGAAACTGTTAAAGCTCGCAATGAAATTTGAATGGCGTGCTCCTTCCCTTAAGTACACAATGATAACCAGGTCCAAGCGCTATTATGGAGGTTCTAGAATAAGACGCGAGCACGCAATACCGTGGCTCCGCCTCTCTTGCGAAATAAAATCCCGAATATTAAGAATCTCCAAACGTTATGGCTCTGGCGCTTGCAAACCTTTTACAAATCAGTCAAGAGAAAACAATGGCGGCATCCTTTGCTGCAGCACTCGTAAAGGAAGTAAAATCCAAACGGCATGGACACTCCAGAATATAGATTTTTCTGAGAGAAGCCAATAGCCTCCTGCTCACGTCTCCAATGGAAATTATCGAGTCTCGAAAATCTATGTTGCGGTCCTAGTTCTAAAAACGAAAGCGACCTAAGAATGGATCGAAGAGGTCTTGGCAAAGAGTATACGCAACAACGACATATCTACTCTTCAACTGTTGAGGATAAAGCACATACATTGGGGGTTGAGATTAAGTAATAAATATCCGAAGCACGACTTTTGTAGCAGGAAGCAGCAGTGCTGAGGCGATTGTCCACGGGAAGTATGAGCAATTAAAGTCTTAGCGGAAACGATTTATGAGTGGGGCGGAAAAGTGCGCCCTTGGAGCAGAGACGATGATAAAGAGCAACACCAAGTATGGTGCGTAGAATTTCTCTCGGATTTGAGTTTCATCCCGAGTTTTATCGGATTTGCCTTCCAAAATTTAGGAAGGTTCTGATAGGGTTTTCCAAGATAGGTTTCGTGCACCTCTGATCTGAGTAGCCGCTTTCTGAAAGTGAACTGCTTGTCCTTAATCGCGAACTACTGACACGCGGTAGCCACGTCACTTTTGACGCATCTGTGACTTGGTGCCTTGATGCCTTGATGCCTGACAGCACCTACCTATCCCTGTAAATCTTATCTCGACTTCAGTGCCAAGCCTTCATACAGCGTTCATCCCAAACCAAGCAGACCGCCTCCTTTCTCGAGAGTGTTTCTCTTGAAGCCCAACTCGATATTATGTACCACATTTCCGATTTTCGCTTTAACAACGTCGAAGTGCGTGCCTGATGACAGAAGGTCCCTGTCCAGGGCGATGTTTTGCACCAGGGCCATCCATTCCGGCGCAGGACCCTCCAGATTCCATGCAATACTGATATGGAAGTTGTCAGACCGGTCTATAGCCCCTGGAGTTGCATATTTATGCTTTTTTTCTTTGCTCAAAGTTTTTCTCCGCTTCTTTGTATTGCCGACGGACGTGTTATCCTCTACGGGACCGTCCCCGGGTCCTCCGGTGTAGAGACCAGGGTACCCACACCTCTCTGCGGCTTCGTTGCAGGCGTCTAGCAGTCTGTTGAGCTCGTTCTGCGGTGGCTTTGCGATGGAAAGGACAAGGAACCATCGATTCCTCTCGAAATTGGGGACCCATTTTAAGCTCGCGAAACGAATGCCGAATGGTCTCACGGCGGCTTTTCGTAGAGAGCTCGTTAGAGTGTCTAGGCAGGCGTCACGGTCACCAGTCTGGATTTGAAGTGTCCGAGACAGCGAGATGTGCAGAGGCAGCGATGCGCCGAGGGGCGAGCGCAGGAGAGGAATGATGTCCGGGACAGGAATTGGATTGGCGCGAGTGCTGTTCGCATTGTGGATTGATGCAGAGATGGAGTCGATGAGGTCCTGTAGCTTTTCGGACTCTGTATGCGAAGGAACCCCTCGGCCGCGTCAGTCCTTTGTTCTTTCCTGAGGCTTCAGGGCCCCGCCCGGCGCATTGAGGTAGCTTTGGTGAGGGAGACATACACTCTAGATAGACATGGCTGGGCCAATTGCCGTCAATATGCGGGACTGCACGCTTCCTTCCGCCGTGCAGACTCGGATCGTCGCAGGTGCTGACGCGCATATTGACCGAGTACAGATCGTGGAAGGCAGCCGGCAGGGGAGGTAGGTTAGAGCTCGAGCTGGGCTCTTCGCGCTTGCGTTTCACAGCCACTGTTGAGCCTGCTACCGGCTGAGTCGGCGGTGGGTAGGCATCGGATTCTGCCTTTTTATAGAGGCTGCCCTCATCGGAATCGGAATCGGAATACTGCACCAGCACCAGGGCCATTGTAGAGATAGAGGAATGAGCGCACTGCAGGCGCGGAGTTTTCGGGTAGGGACGATCCAAGTCTGAAGATCCCTGTGGAAGTGACGACAGCCCTAGCGCCTGCTTTTCTTAGCTAGCGCCGCTCAGCGCCCCGAGCTCCTACCCTCCAGCACCAGATGACGTATCCGCGATTGGCCGATTGAGGTGGTTGCTGCCCGCTGCGGCGAAAAGGGAAGTAACATGTGTTACGCGCGTTCCTGCCAAGTCACTGGCCTTTCCTTTTTAGCTGCTATCTCTGCCAACCCTCACCTGCGTTCGTCTTCATTGATCACCTCGTCTCATATTGTACCTGGTCACCTGTGATTTGCCCCATCTCACCCTTCAAGTTGCTTCGTAGTGTCTTTGAGAGCGTCTCCAGCAGCACTGCCTCCATCATGGGCGACGGTGACAAGGAAGGGGCAAGTTTGCGTCACTTCTTTACATATCCTCATATTAACTTGCTCAGGCCCAACCCCAGCACTCCCTCATCGGCGCTCTCGTTGAGCCAGACCCAAGTGACGACACCGGCCTGAACAGCCACTTTGGATCCACGTTTGCTCCTCGCCGGAATCCACCTTCTCCGCCGGCTTTTGCTGGTCTCAGGCAGAGCCCATCCGTCGGCATCCGCCCTCAAAACACCGGCAGCACCATCGAAACCAACCCTTTCCGCCGTTCAAGGGCCTCCTCAGTCTCCAGGACTCCAACTCTCGTCAACCATGGAGAATCTCCTCCTTGGAGACGGTATGAGTACCCTTCTCCTCCCAATTCTGCCAGTCCCCACAAGGAGCACTTCTCGCACCGTTCCGAAGCTTTCGGATCACTGAACGAAGGAGGACGTCCTCGACGATCTAGTCAACCCAATCAACCTAGTTCCTCCCCTTCGCCATCGAAAGGTGGGGTCCTCGTTCGTGGTGGCTCTCTTCGTGAGCGTTACCCGGGAGATAATTCCCATAGACCCCTTGATGTCATTCGCAAGGACACTAAGGCTGCCAATCGTGCTTACCATCTCAGAAAGAAGAACTTCCAGGGCGCCGATACTATCGATCGCCTCGATCGGAGCGGTTTAAGCTACCACCATGAGGGGCCGTACGACGCGGCCAACTTTTCCAGAAACACGAACTGGAAGCACAGCCCCGTTGCTGCGGTTCGAGATTCCAATGAAGAGGCATTGAGGGCCACCCCGAGGGAGAACATCATTGACGCAGTGACGAGGCACCGTCCCCTCGAAGGAGTTGCGGTTGTCCCGCCCGGCGTGCCCGATAAATTCGGTCGGGTGCTCGACTATGAGGAGGGAGCGGACTTGATGAGGGAGCCGGGTGCTGACTACAAGCGATGGCCTGGTGTGGTAAGCTGCCTCCTGCAACCCCCCACCCCTCTCCCCCCCTTTTTTTTTTTCACCAACCAACCACTAACTTACTACAGGAATATCTCCCTGGCGATCTCAAAGGGAAAGGCGAGCCCTCCTACTCCATAGAGAAAGCCCTTAAAGACCACAAGCAATATGGAGACACCGGTATTGAACTGTCCACCCGCCGCCGCAACCAGTCCCTCGGTGCTGCCGATGCATCAAGCGTTCCCATCGAAGCCCTCGATGACGGAGCAGGCGTCGGAAGGAGCAATACTACTGGGAAGAGCATAGGCGGTTCTTTGAAGAAACGATTCGGCAGCCTACGCCGACGACGAGCCGAGACTTAAACATACACACCCCATGGAGAAACGACGGAAATACACAATCACGCGAACTAATGCCATACATGAGGTTAGTAGGGCTGACGGCGATTATGCTGGTGACATGGAGCGCTCTTCTATATATAAGTATGTTCATGGGCTGGTTCTCCTTTGTCAGTACGCAGCGCGCGGTATACGACTGAACAACAAATGATGGATAGATCGGTATACACACAACAAAACTAACACGGAATGGCTTGGTACGCCACGGTAGTCGTAGTATCTAACTCATGAGATATGATCAATTGCTCCAATCTCGATCACGCCACTACCTGGTTAGATTACTTTATCGACTCCATGACTCTTTATTCCTCTGCCTTCTAGAACTCCGTCATACTAAGTCTATGCCAATTGAGCCTAAACTGTAATTCTCATTTGAACCTGGTCAGGTTTATTGAAATCCTGAATCTGACACTGTCGATCGCGGTTCCCGTTCTTGGTATTAGTGGGAAAGTAGAATCGGCATGACACCATGATCGGCACTGTGCCCCTATCGGCCAGCCTCGTCCTTGATAATGAATCCTGTTCAAGACCATGAGGCTTAGTGGAGCGCAATCAATTCCAATTCCTGAGACGAACGACAGCTACAACCAGAGGGATCTTCATGGCACATCGTAACTCGTATGAGGCACTCACATTTGGCGAAGAGATAGTGTTCACTGTCTCCATCTTGACATTGCATTGTAGTTTCGATCAGGTCAATCTGATGTCTTAGTGTACCCCGACTACTCCTGGAGGTGTTCCACAAGCAGTCATGACAAAACAAAACTAGTGGAACTTAACAAGCAACCACAGCGGCCTTGTCAAACTCCCTTCTCCCTACAAATATAAGTTCTACGTACAAGTGTCCGGGTCACCAAGGCCGGTGCCACCATAGCCAGTGGTTTCTTGTTCACGGGTGCTGGCACGCTGTGTAAGAGTTATGCCTTCGCTACATGATCAGCCGGCTTCTTCAACGCTAAGATCTTATAAACGCGCCAACGCTCCAATCTCACTGACAGAATGGCATGTCGACCTCGCTGCAATCGGTCGCACCAACCCCACCGTAGAATGGGAGGATAGCCTGTGATCTGGCAGATTGTTGGCGGACAAGAAGCTGGTTGGGGAGAGGGTAATGGATCCTTGGCTGGTGCGGTTGCTAAGGTTTTATTAGTATGAGTAGGGAGGAGGTTGTGTAAAGCGGGGGTTGAGAAGGGAGATGGGGGTGTGATGTTTCAGGAGGGGTTGGTGAGGTTGACGGGGGGACGAGAGCGAAGAGGAGAGGGGGTAAGAGGAGATTTGGGTATTTTGAGGGGTGTGAACATGATGTGCCGATTGTACCCCAGGATGTTGTGGTTGAGGAGGCCGAGTAGGTGGTAGAGAGGTCGAGAAAGAGGGGGTTTGGATGAATCGTCCTGTCAGATAAGGCTTAAGGAGGTGGTGGTTGATAGAGAGGTCGAGGGGAGAGGTTTTGGAAGAGTTGTAATGGCTAGCAAAGCTGGGGGGGACTCTGATCTTACTAACCTACCTGGAGAGTCCTCACATTGTAGTGTAACTTCTCTCTTCAGTGTTGCAACCTGAGCGGCTCTCCTTTCCTTGAGGTGAATGCAGCACGCCAGATGGTTCTGGCTTGAGGAGGTGGGGTTGGTGGTGGAGAGTTTGAGGGCGAGAGGGTTTGAATGGCTGGACCACTGTGGCAAGGGCTGAGTGGAAGGTGTAGCCTACCTGTGAGAGTGGTCACCATTGCAGCGAGCTCTAATAGGGCCATCAGGGAACCCTGATCATCTGGGTATTGGACAAGAAAATTAACGCAATACATGCATAAGACATCCTCCTGATGTACAATCCGAGAGTCCTTCGTGAAGCAAGTGTGCCCAAGTCAATGAACTCTCTCTCGCCTTGATGGCCTATCAAGCCAGTAACTTGGTTATGGACTTGAATATGATGATCGCACTTTGCGGCCTAGGATGGCGATAAGAAAGCCCCTGAATAGGCTGCAGAAGCTGCCCAAACAGAATCACAGTGCTTGCCTAGTTATTGAAATCTAGCAAGGAAACGATGGCAATATCCCATCATATCCTTGTCTGCGTGTTTGCCTAACTCTCCACGCGGAGTGTGGCACACTAGACGTCTGCGATGTCCGTACCGGCTCGGATCGAGCGTATAAGTCCATTGCAAACTGCCTTAATGTGCCGAGCGCTTGCCTTGAGTGTAGCCCAGTCTCCCAGTCACCGGTCGACTGGATGCCCAGTGTGGGAAGCACAGCTCAATGGCTTGCGTCGCAGATCTCGTGGGATTCAAGCAGCATGCTTAGATATTGCGTGAGCCTTTCTATGACTCCGAAAATAACGAGGTGGCTCATCGGGGACATGGAGAGTAGATGCACTCTTCTTGCAAGGCCTCATTCTCCGTCTCACGAGCAACTCGCTAGTAACGGTGAACGTTGGGGGCGGAGGAAGGGAGATTTCGTTCGCTCAGTTATTTTGGAATCTTCTGGCTTCAGTGTTACGGTGCATGGGACCTCAAGGTTGCGCCAAGGGGGCAGAGAGAGCGGTGTAGATAGATTGAGTTGGCAGGTTGAGGTAGACATACCTTTTACACACCCTCCCTCTATGGGACTAAAGTGAGCCCCTGAAGTGTTTAGTTCAAGCGTTGCTTCTCATCTGCGAGAGCAGGAAGTTTGCGCATCATTCCTTAGTGCCCCAGTGACAACATGGAAAGAAATAGGTGAGGTGAGGAGTCGATCTGAGTATTTGCTGTCAACGGTTGTCACTAGGGAGTGCACTCAGCCTTGCCCCTAAACTGATGAAAACACAGCTTGACTCTTCTCATGTGCCAATCAGCTGCGAAGAGGACGAGAATCCCCACCAAAGCCGAATGGCTACTGGCATGGCTTTCCGGTGTGGTAAAGATATCAGCAATCCCATGGTGCCATTACATCGTTGCGCCCGACAACTGGCCCCGTGATCACGCGCCGATGGGCTCCCAGCCGAATAAAGGTGCTACAGAGAAGAACAGGCGTGTTGGCTCGCTCTGACTGCAGTCCTAAGTGGTCCTAGGGAATGGGAGGCGTTGCGTTGAAAGCGAGAGAACGGTGGCCCTCGACTCCCTCCGTTTGCCTTTTTTGATGCATGCATCGCCAGGATCGAAAACAGATTGTCAGACGCAAGTCAGACTGCCGACATAGCAAGTATGCAGGTGGAGTGTTGTTCGTTGTTCTTCCAAGACCAACGTTCAGCGGCATCTCCCCACCCCGGTTCAAGACTTGGTGCTTCTCTCTGCATCCCTCTCATCATCTCCATCTCTTCCACGATCCCGCGCATCACCCACCAACGCACCAAGCCCTAGCTGCAGCCGCCCCCATCTGCCTCTCCAACTACCATGCTGTGCGGGCCGCGCCGTAGACTGTGAACCAACGACGCTTCTAGATCCCGGTCGTCCTCCCCTCAGTCGATGCCCGTCCCCTACCTCAGGCGATGCTCACTGCCCATCTCTGCGCCGAGACTACAATGCAGCCTTACTGTAAGACTATGCTGCAACTGATGGAGCATGTGAGGCTATCTGTGGGGAGGGTGACGATACGCGCACAATTCTCCTTTATGAAATAAACAACTTTGACTGCGCGTCTTGGGCTACCCACCCTGGCCAGGAATCATCAGGCAGAAGACCGGTGAGACAATGCGAATGGCCATATCTGCTCTAGTTGTCTCAACTAACAGGTATTGATGCTGATGGTGTTGTGCTGAGCCTGTGTGGGAGTACCTCCGACACACTCGAAAGACAACCCCTCGCGACGTCGCATGCCTTTTGCGAGCCAATTGCCCAATTTTTAACGCTGTATGACATATTCCTCTGCTTAAGCAGGCTCTCCCTATGGTTTGGCGGCCACGGACAGCCCGGGACAGCCCTCAGAAGCTATGTGTGACAGGAGAACCCTCGGAGGTTAATACGAAGAACCAGGCAGGTATAAAGGCCGGGAAGGGCCTTGAGAAGTTGATTCTGAGAAGAAGACGAGGTATAGAATTGTGGAAATATTCTGCTTTGTTGATCTTGACTCTCTGGTTTCAGCAGCAACGTCTTCGGATGCCCCCCAATAATAATCCCGAGCCAGGCTTCGCGCCCAGCCTGGCGGCACACATTCGCTCACTCCTTGATCATAACGGGCCTGACGACCTGATCAACGATGTTGCCGCCCACCCAGAAGCAGACGTTAGACAGCGTTCCATGCGGCTGAGGGTGATCCGTGCTCAGTATGTGGATTGGAGAGTTATGATGCGCGAATCCGAACACAATGAGCTGCTGAAGGGTGTCGAGGATCGAAGGGAGGGTCCTCAAGCAGAAGCATTTTTGAAGGAGTATGAAGATTTAATGGCTGACATCGACAAAGATCTGGACTGGCAGAGTACGTACCTATCCGAATACTCATTATTTCATTTTAGATCGCTCCCTTTCTGACATGCCTAGGCCGGGTGCTTGACCAGGACAGCAAGATGGCACAATCGCCTGTTGTGCCACCCTACTTCATGGACCACGTGTTTCGGTACCAACTCTATAAGCCTCACAAAGGGACCCTGGCCCCAAATGGATGTAATGTATCATTCTATGGCGCAATAGGGGATACCGTGTCGGACACACTCACCGTCTTACGTGGGGTTGATGACAGTTTCTTCCATAACCTGATCGTTCACCAGCTCATGATTCCTTTCAACGACTGGATCTTCATCCCTTGCCAAGATATTTTCAATTGGATGATTCGTCGCGAAACTGTCGAGGAGTCGCAATGCGTCAACGGCCGAACACTGCATGTCTTAGTGAGTGCCTTGGAATGTGTGGTCTCTGTTCTCTGGATTGCTGGTTCCGTGAGTTTGTTATACAATCTCACCTCGACGAAGAATCGCTTCATCTCAGCGACTTTTTTGGCTCTCGCGTTCCCGTTTTTCCTCGTCTTTCTGGGTAAGGAAGGGTTTCGAATTTTCACGTTGACAGCAGGGTGAGTAAGGCTGAAGTTTCTCTTGGCAAAGTAATGCGCTGATTTGTATGGCAGGTATTGGGCCGTTATGGTTGTGTTCATCTCAACCGCTGGGTGTATATCGTGTTAGAATTTGAGAATTACCAAGTTGAAGCATTGTCTTCGGTCGTTATGTTGTTCAGTTTAAGTTTGGTCCCTCGCTCATCTAGCCACGTGCTCCAATAGTCACGTGATTCTACTCCATTTTCACTATCATTTGGATATTCGCTAATGCAAGCTCAGTGAATATCGTTTAAATCCGTTGTATGATATTACCCGATGGTCACATTTCATCCCACTTCTCTGTCTTCTCTGGAGACTGTCTCATCCCATTCACCGCGTGCACTTCTTTCCACAAGATTCCTACCCCAGCCCCGAATTCAATGCAGAGAGGGCAAGGATCTGTTCGATACGCTTCGTGCCTTTTCCGGACGCTGACACGTACGATTCAAGCCAGTTCACACCGGTCGTGGTAACGTTCCAATACCAGATCAGCGACATTCATTCAGAAGGCTCCCCTTGATTGGTTCCGAAAACCTAATTTTACGTTCAGAGACTTACTCAATCTAAGAAATGCTTGTTTCAAACATGGCATCACGTTAGCCCTTCTTGTTGAAAAAGGTGGGCCCTGATTGGAGTTTCCTCTCGGTCATGACCCACCACACAAGAGTCTTCGGACGGCCCCGAGGCTGTCTTTCACTCTACAAACATTCAAACTTCAAATTTCTCGCACATCGACGTTTCTCGTTGTCTGCCTCCTCTTTTTCATTAAAAAAATTGGCCAAAATCTACTTCCACGACGCCGATAGGTTCAATATGACTAGTCCAGACTCCAAATACCCTCTCCGGCGTAAGTCCATGTTCCCTTGGTTATATTTCCCCGTGTCGTCGTTTACCCTATTAATGGGAGCAGGTTGCCGCTCCAAGAACAACCCGCCAAAAGATAGTACCAGGCCTCGAGAAGACCCACCGCCGTCGCCACCTCCTCCACCACCACAATCGTCAAAACAGAGTAGTACCTCGCAGTCGCAGCAGCGAGGCTAGAGAGGAATACAGGAGAGAGAAAGCTAGAGGACTGGCCCTTTGTTTATCCATTCTTGATTCGTAGTGGATTTGGCACTGGAACCAGGGCAGCGCGTTTGTGCACACTCCTCTTGGCATTCTGCGCGTCCTTTTCGCTAGCGGCTTTGGGTGCCGCATCTCCAACCTTCTCCCTCCCCTCAATAACGCGCCGCTCTGCAAACCCCTGACCGCAATTCCTTGCAGGGTAGTTCAACTCAGAATATCAAAAGTCATTATATCGCAGCTAGTCCACTCTCTGTCCATGTTCTCCAAATATTACTCGGTTGATACTTCATCTTCCGCTCCAAGCATCCCACAGCACCACAACGACGTCTATGATCCACGCCGCGCAACGAGCGCGTCTTCTAGCTTGTCTCGCCTCCAGAACCCCTATAAAGGATAGGATGTGTTCCTCTACCAAATCTACGTCGCGCGAAAGCCCATGACCTAGCAGTCCCCGAGGATGGGCGGATCTGCATGTAGAGGGGCCTTGTCTGAACAGAAACGCGCTAGACCATGGTATTTACGCAACCATCCTCTTGTTCCTGCGCTTATTTTAGATGAGAACAGAGACTCCTGCTTCCACACTTACTCTCCCTCCCTCTGACTCTCCTCCCGTCGTATGCTCCTCCACACCGTAAACAATCAGCTATTTTTTAAACCTCCATGATTCGCTGTGACAAGTGTATCCCAAGCCAATCACCACTTTATCTCAAAAATTGTATCCCGTGATACAATGAGGTCTCTTCTGGCTACACGGACCCAAGGATAGCGAACTTTGCCTAGGTTTTCTAGGCGCACGGAGGGTCTAGTGTTAGGAGACTTCCTACACGACACGCCGAGCCTACCCCACGCCAGATGTGAGATCGTAGCGAGCCTAACCACGCCCAGAAACTTCTCGCCATTACACTGGGCCTTCGATGCTGTTGCAGTGGCTCATCTTCTTTGATGCCCGTCTCCTACTAAAACGGCCCCGACCGGCGCTCTCTGAAGACGGCCCTTGCTTAACACACCTAGTTCTTGAGCTGAGATTGAATTCAACTCTTTACTCCTTAAGTGGAGCTATCCGTTGACAGCTTAAGGAATCGCCTCGCTTTCTGTTCTTCAGTCTAGCCTTCTGCAGACCCGGAAATTCAGACTAGTCAGAGCTATGCTATATTGCATGCGAGGTCAACCTAAGGTCACCAACTCCGTCCTGAATACAACAGGAAGCCACGCAACGCCGCGGGACGCGACATTCGATCGCTCGCTTGAACCTGACACAAGATCTTTAGACTTCAGGGTACACAAATGGTGCAATCAGGCCGACGCTGAAGTTCTCTACACGCAGCGCCATTAGCGGTTCATCCGCACCATCACCACAATTGTGTGCCACTACTATCGATGTCGATTCTGTGAACAGGCGTCAGTTGCGCTCATAGACTGGGTTAGGGTGACTTAACACGACGCTCCCATTTGAGCTCCGGAGTGCACCCATAGTGGCATCGAGACGACGCTGAAATTCCTGCCCACGATCGCCACCCAGGTCCTCGCAGCAACAGATTTCCGCCTATATGGAATAGCTCTCAATGACTTTGCTCGACATTACTACCCCCATTGACTACGAGAAATACCCGCTTAGTCTTCAAATATGTTCTAATGCTAGCACAGAGAAACTACCTTTCATCGCGCTCCATTCGGCTTGACCCGGTGACCTCTTGCATGTCAGCCCATCAATATCGCTTGCCACCAGACTTCGAGCACTATATCTAATCAACTTTCATTTCACGCACCCCTTCGCGGTATACATCCTCGTCCGTCCCTCCGCTTTTCCTTCGCTCATGCCGACTGCCCTCGCTGCAGCTCATGCGTTACGAACATACTTGGTCTTCCCTTTTTATAGACAAACTTATTAGGGGTCTCGCCTGAGGATAAAAGTCCATGGTTCTTAGAATTCACCGAACAATGGAGTTAGGATGTCACCCAGGGACTAGGCTCGTGGCACAGACAATAGGTAATCGGTGACGAAAGACCTGATATCAGAAACGGGCTCGCATTCGAACGGTCGACGAACTCCATTGCAATCTCAAGTATCACACGCAAGAGAGAATCCCCACCTCATTAGTCCAGCCGCTGAAGCTCTTAAGCGTTTGGTTGCATTGCATCTCTATGCTCTCTCAACATTTTGTCATGTATGCATTGATCTAGTATATGGTAACTTATCCTTCAAGTCTTGCTTAACAACCCCACATATATCCAAATCAGCTCTGCTGCTCTCCACTTTGTCCCCACGTGGCAGCCACGATGCGCAGTGGCCTTGCATATACGATGCGATGCGATGCGGCGTGTTCCTTGCGGCATCACTCCCATGCACCTAGCATCCTTCTACTCTCAAGGGTATCCATACGACGATGAAGGGATTGATGCCTCTTCATACCACCTCCGCCCTTCCCCTCCCAACAACGTTGTACGAAACTCTGCCCGTCCAAATAAGCTCTCAGCAGCAAGACACCTGGTCTTCCACTCGGCGCAGGCCTAGCGGCGATCAAAGCAGTGACTCACATCATTGGCTACTAAACTGAGATTGTGCGCTCAAACCAGCCCGTCTCCTCCGTGCCTCGGTATATTTCCATCGGAAGTGGAAGGATGTTCGGGTGAAGCTTATCCGACAAGGCGTCGGAAAAGGAAAGTGGATGAGATTAGATAGGTGGAGGGTGGAGGTGTCGGATGATTGGAGTGCGTGGAGGATTCGATGCGACTTGGATTGGGGACTACTGAGGACGCGTCTACTCTACGAGTAAGAAATGTGGGGGTACTGTAGGGCTGTCTGGCGCTTGGGGCGATGGCAAATATGTGGAAATGATGGTAGAGAATATTGTGAGTGGAGATGGGTGGTGTTAGTGCTTGTAGATGGTTCTGCAGTCAGCTAGGAGGGTATGTCTTTGGCAGAGGTAATATGAAGTTGTGAAGTGTACTCATAGCACATCCTTTGCAGCACGTCTTCGTCTAAAAGAAGTTGTCATAGTTCTTCAAATACAAGAAACAAGACGTAGCTGATGATGAACGACAGGCAATATGGCGATAATCATGGAGCACCAAAGTGACGCTTGAGGGTGGCTGGCCAAAAGAGAATCACGCCGCCTTAAGAAAGACTCATCCTGTGGCATTTTGTTTGATGAGGATGGGAAATTAGGAGGCTGGTATGATAGGGCCAGGCCTGCAAACAGATCCAGCAGCCTGGTTGAAGGACGTGATCGGATCAGGCAGTTACCAGTGCCCTTTCAACACAGCTCAGTGTGGATGAACATGCCGCATTGTCTGCACCCCTCATCCTTGAGCTTGCGTCTCAACAAATGTTCGCCGACTCGGCCAACTGGGTAAGAGGTGCCGGTGTTGAGGCTCACGGCTCCCCGAAGGAAGATAGTAAGTCGAAATGAGGGGGAACGTCACAAGAGTGCATGTCTCGAAATACTGCGCTGGCGGGCCTTGTCAGCAAACCTCCCTACTGCCAGAGTTCACATATGAAAATGCATAGAAGACTGCTTTCAGTAAGCTCTACTTCTTACCATCAACACCGCCTCTGCATGCCTGCGACAGCAAGCATTTGGGTCTCGTGGATTGAGACTGCGCTGCAATTGGGTATAAGACACGACTGCTTTCAGTATCTTCGACTCAGCCTCACTTTCTCGCTCTCTCGGGCCTTAAAATGACTAGATGGTGCGTAGCACTCATCCGGCCCTGCTGTTCCTTCATGCATGTGCCGCAGAACGACACTGCCGGTTCATGGCGATTGGTACGGAGTAGACGGCCGCCCATTCGCTTAAAGAGTGGAAGTTTCAACAGTGATGGACAAATAAGCCTCTTTGTCCAGACAAGCCCCTAGGACGATAGGGTGGTAGTCTCCAGGGATGCCCTTTATGCAAAGTGCTCAGCATAATTCGAGGGGCTGGGGGTGGCAACTCTCTCACTACTCGGCTAGGTCGGTGACTGGCATAGCGAATGGTTGGCGTTAGAATGCTGAAACCGCACTCTAGGTACAACATAGCGATAGCGTGGTCTGAAGGGCTTCTTACCAAAGATCAGGGTGGTGAAGGGTACTGACTTGGGCCTCTCTTCCCGACAGCCTTAGAATCGAGTTTGGAAGGCTGAAAACGGCCCCAAACATGAAGCGGCTGAACTTAACGCCGTGAAACCTCGTGTAAGAAGCCGTCGTGGCTGTTGTAAGGTCTGGGCTAGCCCGAAGAGTGTCGCCGTACAGATCCCCGGCTCACCGATCAGAAGTGAACGAGCCATGGCCTAGTATCTTTCACGCCTCTCAACCGCCCTTGTAATGCACTTGAAAATGTTTCGTCTTCCCCGGTTGGTAAATATGGACAGCCGTTGGAGATCGGTGCGGCCGCATCGCGCTGGGACTCCCCTTGGTTGTTAGCAAATCCTCCAGGTGTCGGGACGAGGTCGCGCTTAATGTCTGTTGCTTTTCTTAGGTATTCTTCAGAAGAAAACTCTGATATTAGACAATAGAAAAGAATACTGCGTTGTAGAAAGCCCCTCTAGTGAGTTATCTATACGATTACCTCTACTACTTCAGCATAGAAGAGGGGATATAAATCTTGGTTTTCGGCTGGCCATGGTGCCTAGGTAGCGTGTATGCATGCCGTTGATTCATGCATTGGATGCGACGTGGCTTTTGACTGGGTGGGTTATGGTATTTAACAAATCCTCATTCGCTGAAATAAGGAAATGACCATTTAATCGAGGTATATGTTACCGTCCCGAGCCTCCCATGTCGCCCGATCTCACGTGCATCTCGCCAAGGCGGAAATATATTATTCCAACTTCTCAACGTCCTGTGATATTATGAGACTCAATATTAATACAAGAGCAAACTATGCAAGCGCTACAGCTGCCTCAATTTCCGCCTGGTTGATAGACTCTTCTCAGAACCTTACCTTGTTCAGTGTTTGTTGTATGTACTTCGTTCCATCGGATTAAAGTTTAATATAGGCCGCAAAGTTCTTCACTAAGGCAGGGGAGTCCGATTTGAAATTAGCAATGCTAACCGCGAGTGGAAAGTACGTCTCCGAGATCGTTGAGATCTTATTCGTTGGTAGAGAGGCACTGAAAAGTCCTGAATGCATGAAGTGTAAGGGAGTCACAATAAAGTGAGAAAGTGAATCGTGGATGCATCAGGCACTTAAAAATTGAAGAACAGATGTTCTACTAGTCTTCGGGGAGGAAGCGCCGCTGTTTGGACGACTAGGCACTTGCTACCCTCACCTTGACAATCAAGTTGCAGATTATGTAACCATAATAGTTTGATTGAAAAACTCAGCAAACCACCCGAGGCTCACTTAATCCTCCCTCGATTAAGTCGAGTTTTTTGTACAACGCTACCATTTCTCCATTTCTCGTTCTGATTACCTTTTGAATTCCCTTTCCCTTCTCCAAACTTCCCCATAGTTCCCTTCCTTCTACTTCTTTCCCCCCATTACCACCCCCTGATACGGAATGGTGTATTTAAAGGCCCAGACGGGCTATCAAATGAGGCTAAATAGGAGATAAAACTTGGCTCAAGAGATTCAAAAAAAAAATGTTCAAGAAAAGTAGGTCATTAGCAACCCGAAGATCGCTTCTAGAGTGACGAAAATGAGAATGAATACTAAACGTATTGACTTGATGTGAGATAATATCCTGCGAATGCAGTAGGCACGTCGATGACTTGAAGTACTCTTTCATGTATTCAAACTAGAAAAAAAACCTAAACAGTCCAATGAACTCGCCTTACATAAAGGTGCAGAAACTATGGGCAGAGACAGGTAAGCCCGGTGCATGGGTCTTGTTGACCTTGTGGCCCAAAAGATGGATGTGTTGAAGTTAGTGCGTATTTCAGGCCTAGGAGAATATGCTTGGCCCATCGGAAATGCGATTTGCGTGGAAGCTTCGGCCGTTGCCTTATCCATGATGGAAAGTGTGGTGGGTTAGACTATCTATTGCCATTCCGCAAGGAGATGCATCAAGCAACCCCTGTGAAGCTGCCTTGAGATTGCGCACCTTTGCCTCTTTGCAAAATCAAGTCCCTCATGCACCATTGTCATTCATATATGACCAAGGATATAGGCGCGATTGAAGCAGCCAAGCCCAGTGGCTTGACTAAATGGTTTAGGAGCTTCGAGATAGGAACAAGTGGTACCATCGACTGAGAGCAGGCGATGAGGCTTCCATTCTGACTCACAGACATCGTGGATGAAGCCCTGCATGTGCGTCTTGGAGGGCATGAACACGATCATTCCGGTGAAAGGGAGTTTTGATGGCACGACTGGATTTACTGGTATTCTTAGAAACTCACAAATATGATGCAAAGTTGCAAATTTGCAGTGTGGCCCCCATCTTCTCGTAGAGGAAGCCGTAAGCGTCGTGCGTTGGCAGAGAGCGGTATAGCACGCCAGTTGGAGGATACTCGAGGATGATCTAAATCGAGTCTCAGAGCTCCTAGACCGCCAGATACTCTCCTGACATATCAGCACTGCCGGCTAGGACAGGGGACATGCAGAAGAATATACATGAGAACCTCATGATGAAACATAGTAGATGAAGAGGTCTTTGGGGGTCAATTGCGCAAACTCCGAAGGGGAGGCCAAAAAGATCGTCAAGCTCAGGCGAACCGCGGAACTGATGACATGATGGCTGCAGTTGCTTTCCGTTTAACCCAGGTGGCATCTGGTGGAATAATGCAGAGTAGAAGGCCATGAAAATATTGCACACATCCTTCTCTAGATTGGCTGGATTCACTCATGGCTCCGGCGACAATCCGTATGTCGCACGGCACATAACCCCTAGCCAACCATCATCCGAAGCCGAGAAGACTCTGCTCCCTTTAATTGTCCTTGACCTAGTGTATAGAGTGAATGCAGGAGTTGCCTTCTGATGCTTTTCAGTGCCTTATCGAATACGTATGTGGTAATTTCTGTTACCCCAAAATGATGGAAGCAAATAAAATGGATGGCGTGGACAAATGTGTTGCTGTTTGCTCTAGTTAGTTGGCGAAACAAGGACGTTGCCGGCATCTTCCCCCTCCCAATGTCCGCTGTTCTCTCCACCAAACTCCTGCACATCACCACCAACGCCCCCAACAGCGGCAATTCCTCTATCCTGGTTCTCACACTTCTCTTGGGCGGCCCGTTCCATCGCGCTGGTCCGTCGAATGACTCCACTCTGCATTAGACGGGGGTGCTCGAACGCCTGCAGACTGGGCGGGTTCGCCTCCTGCACCTTCCTCTCGCCATGCGCACGAAGGGGCATCTTATTCTGGACGACCGCGATATGTCAGGATGTCTCAGAATGAAGTGCACTTCCACAGACGCATCCTCTCCTGCTACATTGCATGAGCTGTAGGGAAACGAATTGGTGAGAGCAGTTTTCCAACATACGTTGTGCTTCTTCTTCGATCTGATGTTATTGGAGATGTGGCCAAAGGCGGTGTGGTGATGCAGCAGTTTGGTAGTACTGCCATTGGACGCGAACGCGCGACGGCGAACTGCTTGGAAAGGCCCTAATGAACTGCGATTTTTAGTGTCGAATTGAGAGCCCGTTGGCTCTGCTTGCTAAGGAATAACTCCACGTCAAGCAGAGAACCAAGAATTTGTGAGAATGCCTCCATCCACATGGAGCTGTGAAGGGAGACTCAGTCTCGAGCAAGATAAAGCCAGGGACTCCCTTCAGGAATCCAGGTTGAAACCGACAGAGAACTCAAGCTCAAACAGGTTGGTATTTTACCCTCTGGGCAAGTTTTCAGTTTGTCACGTTTGTTTTGTAACTCGCTATGGCTAGCCCTTCCACCCGAATGGAGACAGCCAGTCATATCTCGCTCACAAACTTCAGCCTGAGGGGCTCAAACCAAGACCTCGCCAGAGCACTCACCAAACATGAGCCTCTGTTCGAAGCAATCGCAACCTTCCCACAAGCGGGCATATATGAGCGTTTTGAAAAGGTCAGGTGTCGTGTCTTGTTCTATATCGAACATCAAATTCACCAGCAGGATGATGAAGTGACAAAGCGGTTGGAAGAAATTGCAGGAGGCTTGACAGACGGGAAATCAGAAGAGCAGACGAATATTGAGCTGTCGGGAAAAATGAACAAGCTTATAGAGTTACTTGAGACTCATTGTACGTACCTTGGGTCCTTCCACTTACTTTCACGCTAATTAAAATTTCTTACAGCACGCTTGTTCAAACAAGCTAAGAAGATGGCACGATCGGCTTCGCCACCTCCAACGCCAATGTACGGCAAGCTTTTCAAATCAAATCAAATATTACACTATCTCTACCGCCAAGCCCTCTCTCCTATTGGTCCGGATATAAGCTGGCTATTAATTTAATTAGTAGAAAATTAGTAACTAAAAAGCTGCGTTACTGTTTGTTTTTAAGCTTTAAGTAATTGTTCTGCTATGCTACATGCTTAATCTAGTCTTCTTTTTTTCCTATTGTAATTAACTACTGCACAGTTAGGGGTGTAAAAATTACTTTTATAGTGTAATTTTTCCTGCTAAATGTAATTAGCTCTGCTAAGACCTTTTAAGCAAAGCCTACTGCAGGTAAAAAGAGGGTTCTAGAGGATCTCCTCTTAGTTAAGTAAAACAGTAGTGCAACTTTAGGCTTTAGCTCTATATTTACTC